TTCTCCCAAAAATCTTACAGGCGAAAATGACGGGCATGTCCCTAACGTAAGCCTGCCAAGCGTAGGCAAGGCTAAGCCTGCTTTGAACCGTAACATTGTGTCAATAATCAATCATTGAACCTCCAGAATAAATTCTACTGGACAAGGTGAAACAGTTTAACAACCGCTATTGATTTTTGCCCTTTACACCAATATCAGTTTCCTTTTCTAAAATTTCATCTTCAGCTTGGAAAGGAGCAACTTTCTCTTCCTCTTCTCTATCAGTTTGATCTTCTTCTTCTTGAATATCACTTTTCCTTTTTAAATTAATGCAATTTACGATTGTTCATAAAAGTCTAATCCAGATTTAATGAAGCAAAAAAACCCTAGATATTTATTAAATAGAAAGAGCATATACTATATAAACAAATATCATATATATAAAACTTTTTTTCATTGCAAAATGTTCCAGAAATCCAATACACTTACATTAGCTTCTTCTGAGTGAAGATTGAACTGAGGTTGAATAACATTCACCATGAAATGCAGTGTTCCCTCTTCCTCCAAGTCATCAGTGTTTCCATTCTTGGCTGCTGAAAATGCAAAATAGATGATCCATGAGAAAATTTTTGGAGACTTGCACGATTTTTAGTTTAAAATAATTTTCCTATAAACTTTAGCAACCATAGATATTGCTATCAAGAGAGCCAGTAAACTCTGGTAATAGTAAGAGATCCTTAAATAAGATCACAAATTATTAAGCATAGCAGAAACCAAATTCTTAAACCACATACTAATTATGAATAGGGCTTACCAACTGGATCAGAAGTTGAGTTTTCCTCTTTAACCAAATCTGAAGGTGATGAAGTTGATCCTACAGTCTCCACATGTTGTTGAGCAGGGGGATTTGTAGCCTGTATGGCAGAAGTTGAAGGCTTAGAGACATCATCTTGCTGTACCTCAGCACCATCAATTACCTGCTTCTCAAGCAATTTCCTCTGCGTATACTGTCTAGAAGGAGAAGGTTTTGGAGGCTGAACTGCCTTAATTATTCCACGACCCAAGGACAAAACAGCATTTCTGTTCTCAAGAGTCCACAAAACCTTAAGACCATAAAGAAACACACGCTGACAATTGTCAGCTACTACCACATTAAATCCGTCATCATCACTATGGTCAGATTGTGTAGGGTCATCACTGTCGCTCCCATTTTTAAATTCTGACTTGTCAAATTTCATCTCAAGATTTTTCCTTCCAGCTTCCAGCCAAGCTAACAACTTCACAGGGTCGGCCTTTGGAGTTTGCCTCCTGATTGTAAAATATTCAAAAGATAACAGAAATCCATCATCATGATGTTTCTCTGTGTAACCACCCACATAGTTGGATTTTTCATTGTTGACTCTATCAGTTGATGCAGATTGCACATTTTTCCTCGCCATTTGAACCTCCTTTTCAATGCATATGTAATCTTCTTTATCGAAATATGCCTTGGGCATGTGAAGGTCAATGCCCTGGTAAACAAGATCAAGTGTATCTCGCTTGCAATCAAAAGTAAATTTTTGCCTACCACGACCATAACCGAGTTCACATCTTAGCTTTGCTATTTTAAATGTAAATCCAGTGGCAGGATCATCATCTTCTAAAGAAACATGTCTAATACATAGTGGTGTTATATCTAAACGGAGCATAAATTCTGTCATCACTTTGTCTAAAGACAAGTTCCCTGATCTGGGAACTCTTGGGACTCCAAAACGAGGATATCGAGAAAAAGAACGTATCTTGAGAGGAGGAAGATAATTCAAGTTCCAGAATTTGAAAACCCAACATAAATCATAAGAACCAAAATTCAGCTTTGTCATATCAGTTGAAACATTAACAGGTTTGCACAGAGAATCAGAAACAGTTCCATCCATACCCACTCCGTCTGCCTTGGTGATGGAATGGGATTGTTTCTCAGATGGTGGAACAGAGGGTCTAAGAGAAAAGTTCCAACGGAGAGAGAGGGAAGTTGATCTAAAGGGATCAAAAACTTTCTTACGAGGTTCACCTTCATTGGGAAGGGCAAATAAATAATGATCAAGAGGATTTCCAGACTCACATTCCCACTCCATGGTAACCTCAAGACTAAAGTAAGGGCATTCCAGAAAAGCACAACCCACACCAGGAGGAAGTTTTGAGCTGCAGTTCTTTGTGAAACTCTCCAAACTGCTCAAAAAAATTTTGAACTCGTTTGCATAAACATTGACATGCCCATCTGACTGCTGGATTTCCATTAACTTAGTAACAGCTTGCAGTTTGTCATGCTTTTCATAAGGGTCTGTTGTCCCAAGAACATTTATTCTGGTCTCAGAAAAACATAAGCTTATTTTCCCATGAACATAGTTTCTTACTTCATCCCACCAAGGTAAGCTGCGCTCCTTTTTAGGTGGCTGAGTTTCAGGAAGATTGATGTTAGAAGTTTGTGAAGCATCTGAAGCATTAGGGTTATTAAAATTGGGATCAGAACTCCTAACGCTTAGATCAGCTCTGCGGAGAGCCACTGTAAAAGCATAGCTAATATCGGTAAAAGATGGTTCAAAACCAACACCAAAGGAAATTTCTCCCTTTTGGAAATATAGTGGCAAATCTGCATATGTTTTTATAGGTGGTGTTGTCCCACTTGCTGAGCGCATCATGCGCACCTTCCTCCATCTCCCAATGAACACGTCTTGTTGAATTTGGGGTTGGAAACATGTCGCCTGTAACAAAGAGGGGATGTCAGGATGGAAGAGAACAAACGAACCTAAAAGGCAAATCTAACAAAATAAATAAACATAACCATGAGGTTCAGAAAAAAAATATATCTATGAACTTCAAACAAAATATACATACAAGAATGATTTTATATTCAGACCTCAAAACCAATAAACCAAAAGCAGAAAACTTATCTTCTAAATTGATATCAAACTAGATAAAAATCCTTATCAAAATGATGAATAAGGAAAACCTATTAATTCTACCATCTATTCCATCATGTTTAGCAAGAGGAGATAGGGAATACTAAAAAGATCTCTAGTGAGGTGATTCTCCACTAATGTTAAAATACCAGGGCACTTATTTCATTTTCAATTTCAAAAACCTTCATTTTCATCATTTTGTTTCTGTGTCTCTGCTAATCTTTCTTAGAATCTTGGTTTGTATCTCATTACCATCAAGATGATGTCTCTATAGGTCCCAATGGTTTTGATATATAGTAAAGGAGTATCTACAAAGAAAAAGGACCTTCTTAACATTCTACTCTTTACATTCAGAGACAACAACAAAGATATAAGCCTGTAGTTGGATCACAGTCATGTTTGCAATTTCCAAGACATAGAAAAATTCCCTTAAATTTTCCCATTTCCTCAAAAATCAAAACAGAGACATCCTATAAAAAATAAATTCTAAAGATCTCTCAATATTTCTTGATATTTCAAAAAATTTTGATTTATCAACAAAATTTTCAATTTTCTTTGTACAAAAGACCAAATTGAGCAGAATATAGGAGAGATTTCACTAACTTATCTAAAATCAATTGGAAACAATAAAAAAAGCACAGAAATAACAGCATTTTATTCATAAAATTAAGAAGAAAAATATTTGGAATTTTATTCTAGACCTATGAATCAACAACTTCAACTGGGTTTTAGAAATATAAATATATTTTAAAAGTTTTATTTCAATAACTAATTTAAAAATAACTAACTCTTTATGGCAATCATATAACAACGCAAGTCATAGTAATAATTAATATAGTTTCACCATTTAAGAATTAAGATACAACTGAAGAATCTTGAAGCAAATGAGTTAGGATCCTTATATCATTTCTCACTACTTCAACTTATGTCCTTTCTGGTGTGCCACTTGCTCCTCTAGATCCTTCAACTTGCAACAGATCACTTCTTAGTCTGGTGATGTAGATGGTCTTCTCTACACATGCCAAAACCAACTAGTCTACTTTCCATCATTTTACCACATATTGTAGCTACTCCCAGTTTCCTTCAGATAACTTCATTTTTTAGTCAAAATTTGGTTTTTAAAGATGCTCATCTTGCATGATACTAACTTGTTCCTACTGATAACTATTTATTTTAATCTTCTATCATTTGTCACATATAGTAGGCTGTTTTATTTTATGTTTTGAGTGCATAGCTCTACCACTTCTAGAATTATACAAGGTTTCATAAATAAATTTCATATTCTTTCTAATATTTTTAGTATCTTCTCAAATTTCACAGATTTTTCTAAAAAGCTAAGAAAATTACAAAATTTACTCATTTTCACAAGGAGAATTTAATGAAATAGAACTAAAACTAATATATTTATAGTCCATGATCATGTGGTGGATAATTACAAATAAGAATGGTATTTTCAGTATATTTGGATAAGAGTATCTCCACCAAGACCCCAGATAGCTGGGACTAACATTGTTCACCAAATTACAAGACCTATAACTTTTAGTTGCAATTCTATTCTTGATTATTGATTCGGTACCCAGAAAAAATAAGTAAACGATAAAGAAAGAAAAACAAATAGGACATACTCAGAGAATAATTTCATATTAAAACAAGATCATGGATCTTAAATACAGTGCATATATACTGAACACAATAGCTCTACTAGGAGAGGGGAGAGCTATTCAGAATCTCAGATTATCAACATTCAGAACCGTGTCACACCTTGAGTACAGATTGAACTCTCTGTACTGAAGACACAGTGTAGTTAATCAGTCAACTATCACCTACCCAGAAAATATACAAGGAAGAGGGATAGACTCTAAATCCTTAGTGAAGAAGAGAGAACTCAGAGAAAGACAGGGCTCATGGATATCCATGTAGAGTGTCTTAGTTAATGAGGACATTTAAGACCCTATCCTTTCCCATATTTGGTAAAACCATTTGAGGTCAGTGGCTCTAATTGATACTTTCCCATTATCCCCTTTAATGGCTTGGTATAACGGAGTTAACCATTGCATTAAGTGAAATTACAGGAGATTCTCAATCCTCTAGTTTAACATCTACATAATGAGTCATCCCAGTCAAGCCTCCATGTGGCCAACTAGGTATAACCTACTATCTTAATAGATCCAATGCACAAGTGCCAGTAGTCATGCTCATCGAAGATGCAGTTTTACAAAGCAAATGTGGATGATATTTTTTGATAAATAAAAGAAATTTTCTATTAGAATAAAAAGGAATTACACTGAAAAGGTGATGATGAATCACCAACAGCACCATAAAATCAAAATAATCCCAACCCAATAATCACTGACGCCATAACACCTCTCAAAACTGATCCTTCCAAACAAAATCCTCTTATATCCAATGAGGAAAGGACTCCTTGGAAGTTCAAGAACATAATGAGGGAGATAAAAGAGTTAAAAAGAAGTTGCGTGGTCAATAAAACATGGGTTTGCAAGTTAGCAAATGGATTGGTAGATGTATTGGCTAAACAAGGGGTGGAAAGGGATAGTTTCTTTTGGGGTGTAGGGGGAACCCTTTATGTAAAATAACAGTGTTTTCACCTCAAGACTTGATCGAACATTGAAAAAAGAAGAGAAGAGAAAGGGAAGAGAGGAGAAGAGAAAACAGATTTTAGAATGCCAACCGGGCTGGTGGTGCTCCAATCTCTAGTTATACTAGGTTGATAAAAATAAAATCATTACAATTACAAATTTGTCCCTGGCAACCCACTCTATTAAAAGAATATAAAAACTTAAGAAAAGAAGACTCTAACAGCACTGTTTACTCTATTAACAAGCTGACAACACGCCCCCTCAAGTTGGGCTGTATATGTCAATCATGCCCAACTTGTCACAAAGTTCATTATGCTGCAAACAAGGAAGGCCTTTTGTGAGAACATCGGCCAGTTGCTCCTTAGAGTTAACATAGGGAATGCAGATTTCACTCTTGTCAAGATTCTCTCCTATGAAATGCTTATCTACCTCATTTTGTTTTGTCCTATCATGGAGGACAAGATTAGTTGTGTTAGCGTAGGGGTATTTATGTCTTTATACTTAGATTAAGGTTGCTGATCTGTAATATTGTGTTAGAACCAGTGCTCCTTACTTAAATAAGGGCACATATGTCTTTTCCATTAATTTTAATAATAAAAGCACATGTCTGGCCGAATGGGAGTTATGTTCTTTGACTTCCAATTCGAACCAGATTTTCTTCTTTTCTCTCTCTCTCTTT